GCCAGCTTTTTCAGAAGGAAAAGAAGCTGTTTTTTACGGAACATCTGATCACAGTTTGGCACTGTCCCATAAACCAGGCTATAAAACTGTATTGGGATAATGGGAGGTAGTGGTTTTGCTGTGGTCAGCAATGTGAGGGAGTTTTCACAGATAAGGCTAATCACTGCGCTTATCATCACAGCAGTTGTGTGTGGAGACTGAAAAGCATATGCTCACACACACAATTACACATATAACACTTCAGTAGCTTTTGCACTGGTCACATCCCACTTTTAGTGCGAATTCCCAGTCTCACCGACTGGTGCTTCTTGTCCAGTTTAAAAAGAACAGTGCATCACCAGAAATGCATAAGTATGTGGGTGACTGGCAAAATAAAAGCACACAAAACATCGAGGATTTACATTTTGCTCGATGTCATCGGATCACAGGGTGTTTGATCGTAGTACTGATCCAGATCAATTATTACAACCCTAGCTACTGCTATTATGAATGAATGAAGGATACGTGACCAGTATGTAGTCACATGTAAACATCAGGGTCAGTCAGTGGCAAGATCACCATGTAGTAGTGTTGTACCTGGTACTTTTTTACCATACTGACTCTGAGAGACGAGGCAGTCCAAGTAACTACAAAACAGTGCTGATTCATTCCATGAATACAGGTAAAAATTAACATTACACGCTCAGGTATCTTGCACCTCCAAACTGCTCGCAGGCAGATGTAAGATGAAAGACCCTGAACCCACCAGGCCTATACATTATATCACCTCGGTTGGGCTAGCCCCATACTACACAGAAACGTCAACCGAGATGTCTCTGTTACCAGCTTTGCAGCTGGTCATAGCAGTAGTCAAAACACGAAGTAAATCAATGTGTGTGTGTGTGTTGGTTAAGTGGTGTGTAACTAAAAACATTCTCACACGACCTCTAGTAACATGTCGTGACTTAAACATAAGAACATATTATGGCTAAGGCTACAGTTATACACGTCATAATAATAATATTAAACACCCTGTCTGCTGACAGTCATCAACTCTTCTCTCTAGTTATCCTTGACCAGATGTACCCTGTAGAAACTCATAAGCATGACTAAGCATTTAACAGTCTAACTAGACATCCTTTCTCCACTAAACATTTCTAATACATAAAGGATCTATCCAATATCTATCTGACTAAAAATACCTAACAGTAGCATGTCTAAAGTTGCGCTTGCCAGACAGTGGAGTGGCTGCAGTACCTACTACATTTTCATTGGAGTAACATGCATTCAGCAGAAAAGTGTATGTACATGTGTAGAAAGCAATTTTAGATGCACCCCTGGATAATGTGTTTTCTGCCACCACAGAACACTGGGGACTTGCAGGTAAAGTCACAGCATGCGTACATGACAACGCTCGTCTGAAATGGGACTCTCAGCAGTGTGTGTGTGTGTGTGTGTGAGGGGGTGATCTTCAAATAATTGTAGAATATTTCCCAGCAAATATCAAATAGCATTAGCATTTTTGCTTGAAATATCCATTCCTACTATACAGTTGAATGACTAATGAAAGAGAGACTAGGATGACCACATTTTCCTTCACACACACACACACACACACACACACACACAGGGTCCACAAGAATGCAGAAGTACGCCCTCTTCACGTGTCAAAAGCACCAACAAACTATGAGCTACTCTGCAGCACTACGAGTACAATAAGAGGTCCCTGGCCCCACAAGTCCATACACAATCAGCCCCAGGGCTTGCCCCACTCCCACCCTTGCCCTACACTCCTCACCCCCATACACAATGGCCACTCCAGAGCAAGGGGTCCCACTATGCAATTCCATCACACAAAGAGACACACCAGTCCTTATCCTGTCAGAGAGAAAAAAAGAATGACAGAGGTGGCAGAAGAAAAATTGTAACCCATTGGGGAGGGAGTGAGGAAAATGAGCGAAACACAAAAGTTGGAGTACAGAGTCTATGTGGCAGGGGTGTAGATGAGGCGGCGGCATACAGTAGGCAAGTTTTTATCGTGTGTGTGTGTGTGTGTGTGTGTCCATATAACCAGAGCTTGATCAATCATTAGCACAGCCTTTGAGGTGCACACAAAGGTGGATGTATGACTGTGTAGGCGTCTGCTGACTAATGCAACCTGTAGAATACTTTGCCTCAATCCAATCCCCCAGACTACATCAAACACTAACGAACACTAGGTAAACAGCAGGAACTGGATAGAAACAGAAATTAAATCAGATACTTTCCAACACCACAAAACCAACACTGACATGCCAGCACCAACAGATGCAGCTGAAGCCCCATTTCCTGCTTTATCACATCAGTTCTCTATCACAGCAGAAATCCTATCATCTATTCAAGCTAATGAAGTGACTGTGGAAAACAAGAGTGCAAGAGAGGCGTCCATTGATGGAGAGGAAGTAGTAAGCTCCCTGGAAGCAGCCGTTTACCCTATGGGACATAATCCTACAGCACCAAACATCATGGACGATTACACTTTTGATCCTACACATGTCCAAGTACTGTTATATTCTTCTGCATTCAACAAGAGTATTTACTCTTAATGATGAGATCCCCACTGGATAAGGGTTAAACTAGCGTTCTGATTGGAACAGTACGTGATCAGACCGATCAGGAGGCCACTACAGATTAAACAGTTCAATAATTTAACTATTCAAAGATACTGCTTTAAGATCACATTTATATTGATGTCTTTGAGACAGAGCTGCTATGTTTAGCAACTGAAAGGATTAATTAATCAGTTAATCAACAAAGAATTCATCAAATTTAATCTTGATAAACAACAAATACTTAGATGAAACTTTTAGCTACAATCTGTTGGCTTCCCTATAATAATCTGACTCATGGAATCTGCACCAACTTTGGTAAGTGAATGAGTCTTTAAGTCATTTTTCTATCAAAAAATCCTCCCAGTGAAGTTCTTTTAAATCAGAGGATATGCAGCTTTTTCCACATCTTGCCATAAACTGTATATAACTGTTCTTTTAGACCGTTGCCTTGAGATCAAGAAAACTGTGAAGGGCAATATTAAACATCTGACTTTTTATAAGCCAAACAATGAATCAATAAGTAATCGCTCTGTCTGTATTCTTTCCTTTCTGTTTTAATCTCTGTTAGCACTGGTTGGGTGCCAGCACACACACTTCACACTACAAGAAAACCACTGTACAGTAGCACCAGTTCCTGTTCATCACCTTTGCTGAGCAGATAACAAAAACAACCAACCAACTACACAAACACACACACCTACTGTATACATGAAACCCACAAGCACAATCAATTTTAGTACCTTCCCAGAAGGACTTAAGTTATTTGCTGCCACACAAAGAGAGTTCAGAGTAATAAAAGGACTACTTGTGGTGGGATGTGGTGTGATGTCATGGCAGCCTCCGCGGGGCTGCTGCAGGGAGTGTGTGTTCAGGAATGTGGAGGGCTGAGGGGCTGAGGCTGGGTGCAGCAGGAGTCAGGAGGGAACAGGATGGGGGAAGGGAGGGAAACATCCCAAGTGGAAAAGAGTCCCACATAGTTTATCAGTCACACACACATGGCTCTATGCCAAATGCTTACCAGTAACTACTTAGAAAGCCATCACATTGTTCCCACAGGAAACACAACTTATTAAATATGTATATTTTGCTTTACACAGAGGGCCATAGACTACAACTGACTGGTATACTTTTTCAGGCATTATGTGCTTAAACTCCATTGATGCAAATATTCATTTTCATTATCAGTTTACCTATTGTTTTGTATATGAAACATCAAAAAATTACCAAAAACATTTCCATAGGTGAAGGTGGCATCTTTACATGTTTTGTTTAACCAAAGTTCCCCATCCCACCCCCCCACCCCCACCCCAAAAAAAATCCAAAGTATTCAGGTTAAGATAATTTATGACAGAGGAAAGCAATAATTCTTCTTTTGACAAGCTGAAATCTACAAATATTTGGCATTTTGTCACAGTTTTGCTTTGAAATGACCGAAAGCAACAAATCTTCTCTTTTGAGAGGCTGAAATCTGCAAATGTTTGGCATGTTTTTACGATTATTGCCTGAAGGTGACAGAAAGCAACAAATCTTCTGTTTTGAGGGGCTAAAATCTGCAAATGTTTAGCGTTTTTTCCTCAATTTTTGCTTGAAAACAAAAGATTATTTACCAAATTGTTGATTTTTTTGTAGATCAATAATCAATGAATTGACTAATGTTTCAGCTCAGGTCAGTTAAATTATGGCAACTGAAACAAATTAATCAGCTTTGTTTTGTCACTTAAAAACAGACTCTTTGTGGCTGACGCAAATAAAGTGCATAGCTGGCACAAAAGGTAGTGTTCCCACTTCCTTTTTTCTACAGAAACGCTGCTTTGGCTTCAAGAGAAAAGAGCAAGAACGAACTTATGCAAGTATTTCAGGAATTAGACAGCCTTCAGCTGACTATTGGAAACCCCCCTGCTCCTCTCTGTGACAGGCCAAGTACCTGACAAATGTACACCCAGGGTTAATACATGCTGCCTGTATATCTGTCTAGGAGCAGTCACCTCAACACCACCGGGAAAGCAGTCAACACGTCCTCATCTCTCTAACACACGCACACACACATATGCATAAAGTGCTTCAGGGATTTTCAGGCACTTCTCTGAAAGGTGCTGGATGGTGAAATTGGGTTGTCAGGGAGATGCAGAGGATGTCGCTGGAACAACTGTACAGTAGTTCAACCACTTCCTCTTGAACCGGAGTACAGTACTAAAACTGCACCAAATTGTACTCTTATCTAACCGCAGACTACTGCATTGATCCCGTGAACAGCGAAAAGCAACAGGTTTTCATCGTATTTTTTGATTGTAAGCGGACGCCGTTAATGATCTGACTTGTTAATTATTCAGGAGTGTAGTTAACTGTTAGCTTTGCCGACAACAACCATGACAAGTAAACAATAAAGACAATGTGGGGTCAAACATCGTGGCAGGATTCAAGCAAACTTACCGGTATCTCCAGGTGTTTTCATTCTTCCTGTTTAGCTACTTAGCTATACAGCAAGCGGATAAAGTTCACTAAACTGGATGACTTCCACAAAGTTGTGTGTGGAAAGACAAGTCAATCTCTCGGCCACTTCCTCCCCCTCAAGTTCCTATTCTGGAAAACTAGGTGAAGGCACGGCAAACTTTTGAAGCTACTGCTTCAGCGGAGCTCTCTCCTCCCGAACAGTCGCGTTCTCACGGTCCTTTCCCCGGCTCTCTGCCAGCCGAAGGAGTCGCTTTCCACCTGAGCTGAGCGGTCAAGACTTCCCTGTTGGTCCTCGCCTCCCGTCCCGTAACTAGAAACGTTGAGATCTGCTCAAGTTGCGGCGGAAAACGGCCAGCCGTCCTGAGTCGAGCCAGTCAAAAAAGCCTTTCTTTCTCCTACCAAGTTCTTTCGCTAACTGTCCGGTAGCCGCTTACTCCGCCTCAACCGCATCTTCATTGCTGTTTGACATCTCTCCACCGTGACGCTTTATTACTTCTTGGACAGAAATTAACGTTAGATAGCAACCTTTCTTTCTTTGCAGACTTTTTTAGTCCTCCACTCACTCTCACACCACTCACTGCGACTCTCTCCTCCCCCCGTGCCTCTCTCCGTCCTCGGGGTGTCGTGTTTCGCTCGCTCTCTTCTGAGCGGGGCCCGCCCACACGGTAAGGGGGGGGCTAACGTGGCTAGTCACGCCCACTCACCACGAGCCTGGGCCTGGGCTGGCGTCAATGCAGCACGCGGTGTTGCCATGGAGACCGCCACACAGCGCTGCCGTAGTGACATCACGTCCGAGTCGTATGATTCGAGAGAGGCGCGAGAACGACACGGCTCAAGGTGTATATTTGCGTCAATCGGTGGTTGCGGTTCTAATTAGATCCTTTTATATCAGGATAATTACGCTTATTAAGTTGGCAAATTAAATATGGAAGCGTCAGTTAGTGATTAACACTGAAAACAGCACATTCAAACTCAGTATTGTTGCATTTTTCAGGTGTGACACTGCTACATTTTTCTGTAATGATGGAACACAGTTTACTCACTTGCTCACTACTAGAGACAAAAGTTAAGCATTCAGGAAAAGCCAGTGGTTGAGTGTCTTAAAACAATAGTCAGATACCCATCTATGGATTATGGGCCCCAGGGCACAGACATGTAAAAGGCCCCCAACCCCTCCTACAATTAAGTTACAGGTTGAAAAAAAAGTCAATATGACTACAAATAACACAAGGGGTGGCCAATTTCACTCTGTTTGTAGTCATTTAGTTTCTCTTTATAGTTATTTTGCATGTCTTTGTGGTATTTTTATCTTTGTGGTTGTGGTGCATCTCTGGTCATTCTGTGCCTTCTTGTGTGTCTTTGCAATATATCTGTGACTGGTTCTTATGTATCTCTTTGTCATTATTCTGCATTTATTTGTCCTCATTTTGCATGTCTTTGTAGGACTTTGTGGCTCTGTGGAATTGTTTTGAGTCTTTGAGGTCATTTTGCATCTTTTTGGCATTTTGCATGTGTTTGTAGGAGTTCTGTGTCTCTTTGGGAGTGTTTTGTCTTTTTCAGGTCATTTGATTGATTTTCCTACACGAAATGTCAACAGCCACTTCAAATAGAGGCTCTGGCTCAGGGGTCCTGTAAATCCTTAGGCCCCTAGGCCTGTACTCAATAGGCCCAATCTGTAATCTCTCCATGCATGTGCCAGTATGAACACTGAAACATTTTTTGCTTCTTGTAATCATTTCTTCTGTTTATAGATGAACTAAAATAGGCAATATAGCCTAAGTATAGTACATGGGACTAAATCACACTTCTCCCTCCATGGAAAAATGTATTCCAGAGTTTATCTTTAGTTAATATGAAGCTTCATGAGTCTGAGTTAAACAAATAAAGCAGGTCTATTCCAAAACTGCTGCATATTTAGTAACAAAATCATTCAGTGTTTTTGCACAGTGTGAGGACTGTGGATTTTTTCTCTCATTAAGTTAATTGAAAGCTCCTTAGTAAGAGATCCTTTAATGGTCAGTGTGAACAGGAGGGATGACTACAGGAGGAAAACCCTGTTTCACTGTTTATATGGCCTATTGTTTTAAGACAAACATCCACTTGAAAATCTGTTTTGTTTTTTACTTTTTTACTTGGACGATTGACCTTTGATCTATCTATCTATCTAAAACAGCACCAATTTTTCTAGGTTTACTTATGCACAGATGTTCAACATACCTAGCATGTAGGTTGGCTATCTAATCTAATCTATCTAGTCTAAAGCAAAACAAATACATGAGCCATACCTATTCAATTACATCTCTTGTAGTTTTACACACCTTGAATACAATGCCACATACTTCATTACTTCTTTACTGTCCCTACCTTTTGGCAGCTACAGAAGCCTTTACCCTTATTTAAATGTCCACTGAAATAAATACATGGGCTTCAAATCAAAGCAATGTAAACCAAAAATGTCATCATAGAAAAACAAACAAACTTGTGGTTAATTTGAATATGAACCTGCATCCTGTTCTACTGCCAATCTCTCACCTCCCCTTTCCTCTTTTTTAAGGTGCAGTCAACCAACTGTGTTTGGCCTTTAACTCACAATCAAGCAAATACATGCACAATGTCCTAGAGTGTGTGTTAAGATATGTTGTATGTACACATGATTGTGTATATTAACTGTCTTGTGTACTGAGATATCCGGTCATGCCATTTCACTTGATCAGATGATAGTGAAGACCCTGGTCATGGCCACATTTGCTGTGGACACTGACCTTCTGCTTCCTCATGTGCCACTGATATGAGCCTGCCATGCGTAATCAATAAGTACACGTGGGTGGGTGAGGCGTCATACACGGGAGGTGAAGTGCATCTCCTCCTTTTGCCTTCTGGTACGCCAGCACCTGGTACAAGGGTTGAAGGATTGTATATGTGTTTTTATGCATTTTTGACCGTGTTACATCAGTGACACACGCTGCTGCCTCATCTTGTCAACAGGATAAGACAGCGGTAGTAAAACAAAGTAAACAAAGTCCCCTGACAGCAGCAGTGTCCCTGTGGTGTGATTTACAAACAGGATTTCTCTTCCCTTCACTGGCCATTCTCTGACAGGCTCAGGAAACCCATTCTGCTCTGTCTGATAAGAAACTGGCAAAGGGGAAAAAGATCTTTAAAATTGGATGTTCACATTCAGGAAGCATTTATCCTGCCCTGTCTTCTTCTTTTTCATAGCAGGAAAACCACTGGAAAGACCTGAGTGTTTTTTCTCACATAAAGGCTGACAATAGGGCAATCAGCTGGGAACAAGAGTGTCGCACTGTTCCCATGTTTCTCTGTTTGATGCTGCCTCTGATGAGTTGCCGTCTGTTTTGGCATGCATCTATCTCATATATCTAATTTTACCATTTTCCAGTGTCTGTCATTCTGGTTGAGGTGAAGAGCTCGTCAGTGTTCTCTCTCACAGAGGGAGAGATGTGAGAGATGAAATCAAAGAGAGGACATGAGGTAAAGCTCCAGTGAGAGAGCAGGAGAGAAAACAAACCTGAGTCAAATGGGACTGATTTAGGGATTAAGTGCAGTGTGGACAAATGGCTTTTTGTCTTTGATAGTTCTGTGTATTTATATGAGTGTGTGTCTGTCTGTGACTTGTGTGAGCATCATCTATTGTAACCCAAGCACAGGAGATGACATTTACAGACAAATCTACAGCACAGTACATTCTGAACACCGATAAACACACTCAGTACCCTCACTCTCTCCTGCCCTCTCCTCCTCCTCCCCTGCTCTTGCTGTTTATTCACCTCTCTTGTTTTCTCTCCCCATTCCATCTTTACTTTGCTTCTATCTTGTCCATTAAACTCCTGTCATCTTTTACCACTCGTCCATCTATCCGTCCCTCTTTCCGTCCACCCTCCCTCACTCTCACACCTCTTCTGTTCCTCCTCCGGCTCCATCCACTCACTTTCTCTCCTCAGGTCATTATTTTATCCACAAACTCAAGGTTGATGCACTCAGGAGTGAATACATGAAAATGTTTGGTGTAACTTATCATTTGCTGTAATAATCACTATTTCACAATCACATCAATAGAATCAGAAGTGTCTTTTTTATTGCTGATGCTTCACTTTAGTTGTTTTGGCTAAATACACTGAAAGTCCAAATTTTATTCATACCACTTATTTTTCCCTTTCTCACTGAATCTGAATAAATGTGCTTATTTTAATTATTTTGAAACTGAAAACAATGTGTAAAGAAACCTTTGTGATATTGCCACATGCAGCAGACAAAATATTATTTGTCTTCCACTTAATATTAATAGTCTCAATTTTTGTTGTTGTTGTTGTTGTTGTTGTAGATGGTGACCTTTGCAGCACACTCATCTTTAATAAAGTTACAAGTAAAAGTCTCAGTAGGATGTGAGGGCTTGCCAATTAATACATCTTAATTTAGGTTTTTAGGAAAGAACATCCTTTCTCACAGGAAATTGAAAATATCTTTGAGCACTGTGATTAACACTGTCAAAATGCATCAAAAATCTTAACTAAAGGTCTGACAAATCAATGTTAAAAGCAGCATTCATGAGCTCTTCTTACTGTTATCTTTCTATTGACGTCATCCCCAAATCAAGTCAGGCCAGAGTCCTTTGTTGCAATTTACTTCTCTTCCCACATCTATTCATCTATCTACCCCAATTATAAAACGTTTGTGTGCTAGAAAAGCCAAATGCATTTGGCATCCGAGTGCATTTCAGGTTTGATATTTGCAATCCTCCAGCAATTCTAAATTTAAAAGCTAATCATTGTGAGCACACGGTAAAATATAGGATATTCAAAAATGGAACATGAATTCCCACATTTGTATTGTCACATACCTTTGGCCATTACTTGGCAACTAAAGCTGATGATGTGTAGGATACACCGAGTGTGTCACAGAAGAACCTTGTCCTATTGGCTCCAAATCATCAGTAACTCCCCCTATCTTCCATCCCGCCCTTTTTTATCCCCTGTATGCTTTATGTGACTGTCCGTTCCTAATCAGAGTGACAGACAGACGCTTGGCAGAGAAAGACAAAGAATGAAAGGGAGAGCGGAGATGTTGTCACTGTTGTGTTTGTGTGAATGCTTGTCGTTGGGTGGGTGTGGACATCACCAGTTATCTTCCCTATTGATTAAGAGCCCTTATCCACCCCCTACCCTCCTTATATTTCATCTTACATGTCCTAAATGATGCGTCATCCCAAGTGCCCAACAATCACACCTGCTACATAAGTGAGCATACAGCAGCTCAGGAAGGTCAAAAAAACCCCACAGACTTTACTGAATGAGCATCACTGGAGCAACTGCATAGCATGCTCTCCAGGCAGCACTAATACACACACTGGTTTCTTCTGGTCTGTGCCTCTATAACACAGATGGCTTGAGTCAGTGTAATTACCGTGGACAATGGGTGTGGTAGCCCACTAACCAGTGCCACCACAGGCAGTGCAGACACACAAAAATACACGCACATAAACAATGCATGTACAATGCAAAACCTGATTTCAGTGGAAGCCAGACAGGATTATAATTCCTGGACGGGGTGTTAAATAACCAGCAGAGGTGTATGTAGGATATATGATGACTCATGCCACTGTAGACATGAACAAATACATTAAGACACACACACAT